TTTTTTATTATTTTTTTTTTTTAAATAAAAGAATTGGATGAAAAGCCTAAACTTTAAAATCATGAACTGAAATATGTTTTAAAATGAACCAAACTAAAACTGAAATAAAATTATATAAAAGCTAAATATTAATTTATCCATCCAGGAAATCCTAAAATGTTTTACTATGAGTTCAAAGTCATTAAACATAATAAACTATTGAAAATGAATTTAATTAATTGATTGAAATAAAGCTGAAATAAAATGAAGTATAATTATTATAATATTCCATGAAAACCCTTAACTTGAACAACATGAACTGAAATATGTTTTAAGTTGAAATAATACATTTAATCAAACTAAAACTGAAGTAAAAATAAATAAAAGCTAAATATTCATGTATCCATCCAGGCCACAATGCTTGGATGAATGAATGAATCCATCCAAAGTAATTGAATTAATTAACTGAAATAAACCTAAATTTAAATTAAATAAAAATGCACTGAAACGTTGAAATAAGTTGAAATACTAAAATTAAGAAACAAGCTCCACTTGCGTCTTCATTACATTTGTTTTGGATATTTTTGCAAACCACAATGACTAAATATGCTGCAGCTTTTCTCTTGTGTTGTTTTGCTGTGAAAACCCAGCAATAATCATTATGCATTTCTGAATTAGCATTAGTGACAGTAAGAATACAATTATTTTGTGCATAATTAATGAAATCAACTGCGCAAAAATACAGTGACGCCAGTGTAGAAATACTTCTAATTCTTGCTTCCTGAAAATACAGCATTTTGTTTGATGCAGAATCCTTTTTTTAGACAGTTTTGACAATTTGTTACATTATTGTCTATTGTTTTGTTTTATTTTATTTAAAAGGTTTAATTTAAATCTGCCGGTGAAACCAGGCGTTATAACTATTCTCCCCAATATATATTATATTCAGCACTGTGTGTTAATTGCATATTTGGATTAGCTAATAATCCTCCCTCAGTTTAACATTTCTGCAGAAAAAATTTGAAAATATAACAAAAAAAGCAAGTTGCAAATAAATTGCAAATAATGCAGCAAGTGGTTGATTTTGTCACAGCATCTGATGTTATTGCATTGAAATGCATGCCTCGTTTGCAGTGTCTTCTGCTGCTCTGGCTCTGTGTTCGTCCTCAGGTCTGCCGGACAGCAGCTCTGAACACTGCTTTAAGTACACTGGAACCTGATTGACTCCGAAAGCTCTCGCCGTCGCTGATCTAGACTCAGTCCTGCAGTATAATCTGCTCTAATCCACACATTTTCAGGGATTTCTGGCTGGATTGTGTTTGCTTTCGTGCCGTAATACCATCCTGAGCCCTGCAGCGCTTTATAAAGTGATGGGTTCGTAATTAAATCACAGTGCGGGTTGATTCGAGCTCTCGTTTTTCACATAATGACGTTACAGACGGATACGGTCGGCCTGTATTTCACAGACGGTCATCTGGAGCGAGTTTCGGCGCGGTTTACTTTCTGACGACGTTAGTCTGGCCGGTGGAGATGGTATAAAGCTCAAATTAAACATAAAATAATACATTTTCAATGTAAAACTAAACAAAACAAGAACTGAAATATGCTTTAAGTTGAAGTACTAAAGTTAATCAAACTAAAACTGAAATAAAAAATAAATAAAAGTTAAATCCAGGAAATCCAAAATAATTTTACTACGAGGTCAAAGTCAAAAAACACAAAGAAAAAAATATTAAAATGATTACAAATTAATTTAATTCATCGATTAAAATAAAGCTGAAATAAAGCTAAAAAATAATATTAAATAAAGTATGAAAAATCTAAACTTAAAACAACATGGAATGAAATATGTTTTAAGTTTAAGTACTAAAATGAATCAAGCTAAAAATGAAATAAAATTAAATAAAGGTTAAATATTCATTTATCCATCCAGAAAATCCTAAATAATTTTAGGTCGAAATAAGTCACTAAACATAAAGAAAAAACAACTACTAAAAGTATAAAAAATTTATTTAATTAATTAATTGAAATAAAGCTGAAATAAAATAAAGTAAAAAATAATAAATAAATAAAAATATATATTTTTTATGGGGCCAAATGCTGATGGACATCACAAAATTGAATTGGTTTAAATCAACACATCACACTGACTGAACTTCAACAGCTGCCAATGCATGAATTTTTCAACGCAACTCAGTTTGTGTGTTTTTTTTTTGCCATCAAGTGGCGCTGTTACCAAACATCTCAGAAACCCTCAGAATAAGGCATCGCCGGTTCTTTCAAACACGACAAAGCATTTAAAGATAAATTTCTTTCACCAACACGGTTGCCTTTAAAGGCCGTAACTCTGTAATGATTGTGAAAACCAACATTTTACTCTTTACGGAGTTCATCTGGGCCAAAAATCAGACAAAACGCAGTAACGATGTTCTTAAAATCCAAGATCGAGGCCAATCTTGACGAAGCGTGGTGTGTGAAGTAGCTGCAGTAGATGTCAGTGCTCCTCACAGGAGCAGAAGGGACTGAAGTAAATATGTTTTTCATCTCTGCGAGGTCCTTCCTTCTGAGGCTCGGGGGACTCACAAACACACAGTCTGCTTTACTTCTCTGCCAACAGCTCACTGTTGCTGCACAAAATCTCTTCTTGCTAATAATAGTAACGCCATCCACATTTTTGCCATATGTTTGCCCTTTGAGGCACGAAACATTTTAGGCAAAAACGAGACCTAAAGGATTCTAGCTCTGCAAGATCTATTTTATGTTGAGTGAACAGCAATGCATTTAATATTTACAATCTAATATATATTTAATATATATTATTTAATAGTTGTTTACAATTTAGTTGTTTTGCATAGTTTTTCTTTAGTAAAATATATTATATTAGTATATATTATTAGTTACTTATATATATATATATATACTTCTTGCAGTTATCATTTTAATTACATTTTGTCTTATTTTCTGTAGGACAAAAAAAAACAATGATTACATATTTACTGATCAACAGTTTTTTTGTTTTTGAAAAAGTTTCTTCAGCTCAGCAAGGCTGCTTTTATTTGATCAAAATTACAGTAAAAATTGTGAAATATTATTGTAATGTAAAATCACTGTTTTCTATGTGAATATCTGTTGAACTGTAATTTATTTCTGTGATCAAAGCTGTATTTTCAGCATCATTACTCCAGTCTTCAGTGTCACATGATCTTCAGAAATCACTCTAATATGCTGCTCGAGAAACATTTCTGATTATTATCAATGTTGAAAACAGTCGTGCTGCACAATATTTGTGTGGAAACCGTGATACATTTTATTTTTCAGGATGCAGAGATGAACAGAACTTTCAGAAGAGCAGCACTAATGTAAAATCACTGTTTTGTATGTGAATATCTGTTGAACTGTAATTTATTTCTGTGATCAAAGCTGTATTTTCAGCATCATTACTCCAGTCTTCAGTGTCACATGATCTTCAGAAATCAGTCTAATATGCTGCTCGAGAAACATTTCTGATTATTATCAATGTTGAAAACAGTCGTGCTGCACAATATTTGTGTGGAAACCGTGATACATTTTATTTTTCAGGATGCAGAGATGAACAGAACTTTCAGAAGAGCAGCATTTATTTGAAATAGAAATCTTTATAACATTATAAATGCCTTTAGTGTCACTTTTGATCAATTTAATGCATTATTAGTGAATAAAAGTATAACTTATTTACTGACCCCAAAAATATGTATCGCAGTTAAATTATTCACAAGATTCTCGAGCAGCAGATCAGCATATTATACTGATTTCTGAAGATCATGTGACACTGAAGACTGGAGGAATGATGCTGAAAATACAGCTTTGATCACAGAAATAAATTACAGTTCAACAGATATTCACATAGAAAACAGCTGTTTTACATTGTAAAAATATTTCACAATTTTTACTGTGTTTTTAATCATATTAACGCAGCACTGGAGAGCAGAAGAGTCTTCTTTCAACAACATTACAAAGTCATGACTGAAATAGTTCTGTTTAAGCTTTAATGCATGCTGACCCATCAGGTAATCCAGACCCTCCAGCATCTTCTTCTCTCTGGAGAAGTCCAGCGTGAAGGCGTCAAACGCGTCGTTCAGGTTGATCTCTGGGATCAGGACCTGTGAGGACGCCGTCGCCATCGACACTCTGTAAGATTTCAATCATCACATGCACAAACTCATTTACTTCTCAGCTTCCACTACAATATTTGTGACCCTGCAGCACAAAAGCAGTGTTAAGTCGCTGGGGGATATTTGTAGCAATAGCCAACAATACATTGTATGGGTCAAAATTATACATTTTTCTTTTATGCCAAAAATCATTGGGATATTAAGTAAAGATCATGTTCCATGAAGATATTTAGTACATTTCCTACCGTAAATATATCAAAACTTAATTTTTGATTAGTAATATGCATTGCTAAGAACTTCATTTGGACAACTTTAACACTAGAACCACCACGGGGTAAATTTTTCAAATGTGCATAACAGATTTAAAATAAAACATTCAAGTCTCCCAGTCATTGACTTTTACTAAAATTATGTAATTTACAATCCAATGTAGTTAAAATTGATTTAGATAAAACCAGATAAAAAAACGGGGCATTTATACTTATAAGCGCCAGCGGGTCAGATTTACCCGCCTAGCTATAAACTATAATGCATGTATTTTCTTGCCGCTTATGTTTTAACATTGTACATTTCTAGGCAATGCCTTTCACTCACTGATTTAGCGGTTATCAGTTTCATAAATAAAGTCAAAATGACAAAAAAAAAGGCAATTTATGGAAGGTAGGTATTAGGGCTGTGCGATATGGACAAAAAAAAAACCTATCACGATTTCTTTGATCAATTTTGCGATTTCGATTTTAATCACGATTTTGACACGCAGACATGCTTTAGTCATTAATGCATTCAGTGTAAATTTGAAACATACGTATTTCCAAAAGAAAACCAATTAGAGCTTTATCAAGAAGCTGTAACATGTCTCTAGAACAGACATAAGGCAAAATAATCACTAAGTAAAGGTGTAACAAAATGTCTCTAGAATAGACATATGGCAGAAAATGTGACATATGTGTCCAGGGATTTTTTTTTGCCATGCATTGGTCATAGAGCTCTTTGTGGCGTTGCCTCAGATGTTGAACTAGATTTGTTGCGCCAAGTTCACACGTACTCCGTCTGCAGTGTGTATACAGTATGTGTATGCGGTGCAGAAGCAGCACAGACTCATTTTGCTTTCGCACAGGACGCGTTTGCAGTCCGCTCCGGATCCGCGGCTGTTTACCACAAACACAACATTTATCCATTATTTTGATTTCAAATCCAAACGTTGTTTCTGAAAATGCTTTTTCAGCATTGTGATTCTCTTTTATCACAGTACAGTAACACAATCTTTCATAGACATATTCACGTTTAAACTCAATTAATATAACTTTGTTTAACTACCACCACGAGTGCCATCTATTATTGCCTTGTTTATCTAAAAGAGCACTTTTCCTTGTTTTAAATCTAGCCAAAGAGCCACGTGTTGACTGTGAAACAGTAGACTTTAATTATATGCATTTATGGTGTAATTACTAAATTTCCGTGTCAATCCATGTAAATTTTTACTGCGAATAATGCGCTGTCACTTTAATTCAGCGTGTGCATTCTAAGTGGTTCGGATAGCATACTGCGGGAGGAGGTCGGGGGGTGCGGAAAATCGTGCTATAAAGCGATTTAGAAATCGCGCAAGCTCAAATCGCGATTTTATGACGATTTCGATTAATCGCACAGCCCTAGTAGGTATTAGAAACACTAAAAGCCACGAGTGATGGAGAGTCTGATGGCAAGTTATGCGTCCTGGGTCGGCTCAGTATCATATTTACATGTTTTCGCCTCACGTTACTCTAATTGGTCAAACTTTGGTTTAATTATTAAATTTTTGTCTTGCCATACCGTTTATTGTTCGCTACTGTGTTGCTATTCTAGTCTGGACGTTTCCTGAAGAAGAAAAAAAATCAGATCTATATAATGTTATGAATAAATCCATTTTTTTTGATCATCCAAAGTTTAATGGTGTTGTTCTCTTATTCAAATTATAAATGACATACCTAAACAAATTAATAAATATTTAGGTGAAGCTGTGTGCTTGAATTGTCATCGCATCATCCTATGCAGTGTGGTGAATTATTATTGCTCATTATTGTCTATAGGCTATTTTAGTAATTTAAATAGCATGGGTTATCTTAATATATTGATGACATTGCATTATAATATTACACCACCCAAATACTTAGGCTACTACCTTTTAATTTCGGTTGTCAGTGTAGGCTTTTTTTTTAGCTTAGGCTATATAGTTGATGGCTAGACATAATCATTTCATGACTCTAGACACTTCTTTGTGAAGACAGCGGCATAATACAGTGAAATAATATGTTCTTTAGTAGGGCTGTGCGATATTGAAGAAAAAAGCGATATGCGATACCTTGTTAAAAAATGCGATATGCGATACGATATCGCTTAAAGTGTGTAAAATCAATTTCAATTATATTTTAAACTATATAAAAATAGTTTCACATTCTTTCTTGGAAAATAAAGAATCACTACAACTTCTGAAAGTGACCAGCAGTGTTTTAGCATTACTTAAAAACTAATGTCATAACTGTAATTTAACATCAGTGAAAACAAACAAAAAAAATGAATGACACTAATTTAATATCATTGTGACTTTGCTTTCCACACACTTTAAGTACGTCTTCATATACCACAGCAAAAACCATAGTCTGAGAAAGTTCAAACATGATTAAAGGCAAGTGAACAGTCAGTGAAATAAAAGAAAGAAAAAGAAAAAAAAGAACTTTACAAGCATAGATAAAATAAACAGTAGCATTCAGATACAGAAATGTAATAATTAAGTGTAAAATAACACTGCATAGTGTTCACTGTATGAATTACATTTAGATTAATCTTTGTTATAGCCGTTTTGTTGTTTGATTAACATTAGTGACATATTCAGCAGCACGTATTTATAGGCTGCTGTCCCTTTAAATCCGACTGCACGGATCCAATATAATGATACACATCCGATTTCTTTCTTTCTCAGCTGTGTACATTAATTTAAAACGCTTCAGGTGTGAGTCTGTCAGACAGCAAGACGAGACGGCAAAGAGTTGTTTTCTGCAACTCATCGCACTTAACTCTTTTTGACGTCAAGCAATTCTCTGCTGTAAGCGTCGAACTAAAACGTTGACCTAAAAGTAGCCTATTATTAAAATGATTCAGATATCGAAACGCCCTTGCGATATGCATATTGCGATATTTCGATATATCGTGCAGCCCTATTCTTTAGTCATATAAAAACAGTTGTCATGTGCGTGGGTAAAATTTCCCCGCTGGCGTTTTTAGGTATACAGCGACCTCTAGTGACTCTAGTGTTAAAGATGATTTTCTCAATATTCTGATTTTTTTTGCACTATCAGATTCCAGATTTTCTAATAGTTGTATCTCGACCAAATATTGTCCTATCATAACAAACCATACATCAATGGAAAGCTCATTTATTCTTTCAGATGCTGCATACATCTCAATTTCTGGTTTTGTGCTCCAGGGTCACATATCTTCTGAACTCATTGTTATTACAGCCAGTTCTGCTCTACAGTAGACTGAAGTTTGCTCACCGCTCTGAGACGCTCTTCGCCGTCTGCAGGAATCGAGCGTGATCCGTCTCTTTCAGAACCTGGTCGGCCTGAGCGATGAGCGAGGACGATCTCTCCACGAACTGCTTGCAGTTAGCGATCTGCTGAGCGAGCTTTCTCAAGCGGACCACCTGGAAGCAGACAAACACGCGCATGAGAACGCCTTAAGCCAACATTAAGAGTTTGTCTTGATGAACTTTTCTTTTCTTCGACTGCGTAAAAAAGCCAACGAGTATCCATTTAGTCATCAGATATAAAACAGGGTTGCTGCAGGTTTGATGAAGGTCAATTCAAGACTTCTTTAAGACCTTTTTAAGACCACATAAAGAACATTTAAGGACCAAATTGAAGGGAACACAATACATCAGTATGGTCTCTAAATCTTAGCGTTTAGGGAGAAACACAATGAGTTTTATTAGCAACACTTCAAAGTTTGAAAATACAACTTCCAACTAATTTCCATTAATTTTCATTAAATTGTATTGTTAAAATAAATAAAAGTCTGGCTTTATATATATATATATATATACATATATATAGATCAACAGATTTTTTTTCATTTAGTTCAGGTACTAAAATAACGAAAACTAAAACGTAAAAATCTATATAGACAATTTTAAACAAAATATGAAAACAACAAAATTACTCAAATTAAAATGAAAACTGAAAATATAAAATAAACTCTAAAACTATTTTAAAAATCATTACTTAAAATAAAATAAAAAACATTAACTGAAATAAAATATTTTTATATTTATACTTTTTTTTTATTTCAGCTACGTCTCATTTTAATTTAGTTGAAGTACCAAAATATAGATATCATAAAAAAAAAAATTTTTTTAAATAAATAATAATAATAAAATTACAAAAACATAAATTACTAAAATTTAACTCAAATTAAACTGAAAAGTTAAAATATAACAATAAAACTATAAAAACACATTTTCGAATAGCTCTGCTCCCAACCGTTAGAAAATATGGAAATAACTTTTACTGTACCTCCGGATCACACTGTAAACAATATGTGAATATGTGAATATCTTCCTCTGTTTTTGTCTTATTTTCCAGAACAAATGTCTAAAAGATTCTTAAATCAAGATACATTTATCTGAGAATCAAAATGACATGAGATAAGAAGTCTTGTTTTGCTGGTTTGCTGCTCGAGAAACATTTCTGATTATTATCAATGTTGAAAACAGTCGTGCTGCACAATATTTTTGTGGAAATTGTCATATATTTAATTTAGCAGGATTCACAAATGAACAGAAAGTTCAAAAGAACAGCATTTATCTTTTGTAACATTATAAATGTCTCCACTGTCACTTCTGATCAGTTTAATGCTCGATTACCTTTCCTTCTTTGATCTTGGTGCCGATGATTTGTCTTCTCTGCTGTACGATGTTTATCAGCGTGTCGCACTCTTCTGCCAGTTTGCCCTCCTGGTGAGCTGCATTGTGCTGAGATAAAATGATCAAATCAATTAACAAACAATGGAAAAGCTAAAAAAATCACACAAATGTGCACAAAACGCAAATGAAATAAATAAATTGGAGGCTGGCAGCATGAAGCTGCATGCCTAAAATCACAGTACATGTGGTTTTATTAAACAAAAGACAAATATCTTATTTAAAAAAGTCGTTTATTAATAATAATAATAATCAGAATAGCTGTATAATATGAGCAGAATAACATCTGTCTGGCTTTAAATAAACTTATAATTATTTACTTTATTATAAACTGACTAATAGTGTCAAAATAGTGCCAAAAAAAATCATAATGGTCCTAAAAATAGGTTTAATTTATTTAAAATACACCTAAACTTATTTTTTTCAAACTTAAAAATGATATAGACATCAAAAATCTAATTAAACTATGACAACAACACTATTACTAAAACATTAACTAAAATTAAAATTAAAACTGGAAATATAAAAATAAAATCTAAATCTAAAACTATACATAAAAAAGTAATTACTTGAAATAAAGTAAACATTAACTGAAATAAAATATATATAAAAAAAACTTTATTTTAGCTAGCTGCAAAGGCAACGTTTTTCATTTCCGTTTAGTTGAAGTACTAAAATAACTTAAAAACTATATTTACATCATTAAAAAATAATAATAATAAAATCACCAATAAATAAATTACTCAAATTAAAATGAAAACTGAAAATATAAAAATAAAATCTAAAACTACAACTATAAAACATTTTCATTACTTGAAAAAAGATTAAAAAATTTACAGAAATAAAATAAAATAAAATAAGAAGAAACCTACTTTATTTTAGCTAGTTGCCAAGGCAACATTTCTCATTTTCATTTAGCTGAAGTACAAAAATAAACTTTAAAACAAAAATGTAACTAATAAAAAACAACAATTTGTTTAACTTTAATGAAAGTTTCAAAAGTTTGTAAAGTTACAAAAACATGTTTTCCAGCTTACAAGTGACAAATATAAATATATATATATATATGTGTCCCTGGAGCACAAAAGCAGTGTTAAGTCGCTGGGGGATATTTGTAGCAATAGCCAACAATACATTGTATGGGTCACAATTATAGATTTTTCTTTTATGCCAAAAATCATTAGGATATTAAGTAAAGATCATGTTCCATGAAGATATTTAGTAAATGTCCTACTGTAAATATATCCAAACTTAATGTTTGATTAGTAATATGCATTGCTAAGAACTTCATTTGGACAACTTTAAAGATGATTTTCTCAATATTTAGATTTTTTTGCACCCTCAGATTCCAGATTTTCAAATTCAGTTGTATTTCAGCCAAATATTGTCCGATCCTAACAAACCATACATCAATGGAAAGCTTATTTATTCAGCTTTCAGCTGATGTATACATCTCAATTTCGAGAAATTTACCCTTATGACTGGTTTTGTGCTCCAGGGTCACATATATGATATACACGTCATAAATATGTAAAGCAAACATTAAAGTGGATATAATGAACTCATATAATCTGAAAGAGCTGAAGCAATGCTGCAGAAGGACTGCATGTCTGCTTTACCTCCACATGCTGACACGTCTGGATCAGCTTGGCCATCAGGGTCTCCAGCTCACTGTTCCTCTTGATCAGATTGCTGAGGTTGAAATCCAACATTTGCTGCGGAAAAACAACAGAAATATCATATCAGCACAGTTTAACTCGCTGAGGGGGCAACAGCCAAACTGAATCATCTAGCAAGCATCCTACATCCATTATTGAGTTTAGAGAAGCGGGGGGTTTCTGCTCCGGCGTTTGAAGCGGGACTCGCGCACTGATGCTCTGATCTGTGGTTAAGCATGATAAACGTCGTGTGTCCGCGAGCCCGCGGGCCTGGGGGGGGGGGATAAAGCGTCCGCCACAGATTTGGCTTTAGAAAAGCAGATCAAGTCCATTTGATGAGCTCCAACCTCATTTCAGCGTGTGTTTCTGCTTCACATCAACACACTAACAGTGGAAAGGCTTTTATTTTGCATTTTTCTAGTTTAATACAAAACGTTAGAGTTCAAAATAATATTATCAGATGATTTTGAAATGAACATGAAATTGCTGGGTTATTATCGTGATCTAAAACGATATTAAATAATCTGCTAACATTTTACAATAAGGTCCCATTAGTTGTAGTTAGTTAATAATATTATATAAAGAAAAGTATTTTATTTTAGCTAGTTTAGACATTTCTAATTTTAATTTAGTTGAAGTAAAACTTAAAAAATTTAATTTAATTTTTTTATTTAATTTACATTTAATTAATAAAACGCAACAAAATTAGCTTAACTTTAATGAAAGTTTGAACGAATTATTGTTACAAAAACATGTTTTCCAGCTTACATAGAAATAAAAACATTTGTATTTTGTGATAAATATGTAAAACAATATATTAAATATTTCGCTAACACTTTTAAAATAAGGTCCCTGTTAGTTAACGCATTAACTAAAATTAACTAATAATGAGCAATTCTTTTGTCACAGTATTTATTAATCGATGCTAACATTAGTTCATGAAAATATAACCGTTCACATTAGCTCAGGTCCATTAAATAATATTAACAGAATCTAATTTTGATTTTAATAACGTATTAGTAAACATGGAAATTTACATGAACTAAGATTAATAAATTAAGTTTTAGAATTGTTTTTCTTTGTTAGTTCATGTTAACTAATGTTAACAAATGCAACCTTATTGTAAAGTGTTACTAATATTTTCATACTTAAAATAAGATAAACATTAACTGAAATAAATTAAATAAAAACATTTTATTTCAGCTAGCTGCCAAAGCAACATTTCTCATTTTTGTTTAGCCGAAGTACTAAAACAACTAAAGCTTACAAAAAAAAAAAATATATATATATATATATATAGAGAGAGAGAGAGAGAGAGAGACCATTAAAAAAAGAATAAAATTACAAAACACAACATAATTACTAAAACTTTAACTAAAATTAAAATGAAAACTGAAAAATATAAAACTAAAATTTAAAACTTAAATTAAAAAAAGAATAAAATTACAAAACACAACATAATTACTAAAACTTTAACTAAAGTTAAAATGAAAACTGAAAAATATAAAACTAAAATTTAAAACTTAAAAAAAAATGTATTGCTTGAAATAAGATAAAAATTTACTGAAATAAAATAAAATATTAAAAATATTAAACTTATTTTATTTCAGCTAGTTGCCAAGGCAACATTTCTCATTTTAGTTTAAAGTACTAAAATAACTAAAACTAAAATTTAAAACTAAATCTTAAAAACAATATAGACATAAAAAAATAATAATTACAAAACACAACAAAATTACTAAATCTTTAACTAAAATTAAAATGACAACTTAATCTAAAAATAAAATCTAAAACAAAACTATTTAATTACTTTAAATAAAATAAACATTAACTGAGATTTTTTAAAAACGTCATTATTTTCAGCTAGTTGCCAAGGCAACATTTCTCCTTTCCGTTTAGTAATAAAATAACTAAAACTAAAAACTAGAACTGAAAAACTATATAGACATAATGAAAAAACTAAATTGCTAAAGCTTTGGCTAAAATGTAAAAATAAAATCAAAAACTCACTCTACAAAAAATAATGCATTATACTTGAAATAAGATAAACATTAACTGAAATAAAATATAAAAAACATACTTTATTTCAACCACGTCTAATTTTAATTTAGTTGAATTACTAAAATAACAAAAACTAAATAAACTAAAACAATAAAAACTATATAGACATTTTAAATAATAATAACGAATGACAAAAACAACAAAATTACTAAAACTTCAACTGAAATTAAAATGAAAACAGAAAATATAAAAATAAAATCGAATTAAAATATTAACAAAACCTATAATAGTATAATAAATCATGTTTTTGATTTAAAGGTGACATATTATGCCTCTTTTAACAATATGTAATATAAGTCTCAGGTGTCTCCAGAATGTGTCTGTGAAGTTTCAGCTCAAAATACTCCACAGATAATTTAATATATCATTCTGAAAATGCCTGTTTTGAGTGGAAGCAGAAACACGCTGTTTT